TTAAATACCTCAATGAGGGCTGTTATTAATCTTGAATTAAAATATAATTACGATTTTGTTCCTGATGTTATAACAGCCTGCTGACTTCATGATAATAATTTGTTCAATATTTTTTGAAACTTATACTGAGAAAATAAATGCAAAATGTTTGTTGATGTTGGTTTGGTTGAATGAGCGTGAATTGGTAATTAGATTTGTTGAAAAGGTGTTTTAAAGTCCGCTGCTATAGTTTCAGCTCTATCTATACATGTGAGTTGTTTTCAAGTTTGAATGTTGTTGTTTTTCCTTGCATAGTTCTTTGATTGTGGTGTTAAGGGTCTACAGTTTGATTGGATTTATTCAATTGATTTATTAAATTCTTGGATTTTTGATATTTTATTAACCTTGTATATGATGTTTCATCTTGCGATATCTCACTGTCGTCGTAAGATGTGTTTAGTTTTACTTAAATTATTAATTCTAATAGGAAGACAGTTATTTTTTAAATTATTGCTTTGAGTGGTGTAGTTGTTCGTGTTATTGATTTCTGAATTGCTTCAGTAAATGTGAAGATTTGTTTATCCAGATCTATAAGTGTTTTATTGGTTTTTATAAAAAATTGGACTGATGGCCATTTGATCTTAGAATTTATTCCAGTTTACTTTTTCTATGTACTTGATTTCTGATATAGTGTTAATCAGTTGTGTGTTTAATAATTGAAGTATTGACAGGATATAATTAGGTTTTGATCAGAAACGAGTTCTGGTAATACTAATTGTTTAGTTGTCTGGTTGATTTTTTTGTATTTTTTGTTCTTTAGAGAGGCAAGGTTTTTTTTGAGAGAGTGTATGCACTGATAATGGGGCGTCTTTGTCAATATATTTGTGTATTTGTGTTTATGGCAATTGTTTCGAAATCTTGGGTGTTCAGGCTATCAGTATCTTGTGTTTCTTTTTATTAATTAGGATCAAGGCGACGCCACCTCGTGCTGTCCCCGAATCCCTTTGGATGTTGTGTATTTGGTAACCTGGTAGGTAGAATTTTTCATTTAAGATGAGATGACTTTTAGACATGCTATGCCAATTTGATATTTTAAGAATATTTCGAAGACTCATTTTTGTCCTTTAGTGCCGATTACATTCCAGATAAAAATGTTAATTACTTACGTCGTAAGGATAGAACGTAAAAATTAAGAAAACTTAGTGAAAAGAATTCGATTCCGTTTCGACGAAAAGGTATTAACTCCAGTAAGAATCGGCACGGATGTAATATATTGACACCGAAAGAAAATAATCTATTCTGGCCATAAAATCGGTGGAATCGGTATCCATATGTCACTTCCTTCATGCGGCCTTTCAATATTGTTTTCCTTTCGCTGAACCCTCCTCCCCAATCAGTCGTTCCTACTGCTCCGTTTGGCAGATGTAAACGGCGCACCCCTGTTAGTCGAATGGACTCGCGCCGAATTCCACCTCAACCCGTTGCACCCTGCCCCCTCTCTCCGCCCCGCTCTTTTTCTCTTCCCGCACTCTCAGCCGCTCCGAAGCACGCCCATCCACTCCGACCCTCTCCGACTCGTCCTGATTCCGCCCACCCACCCTGCGAGCCGCCGCCCCCCGGCTCGACGTGCAACGCCCTCGGCTGCCACGCGATTGGACGGCTCTTTCGCACCGCGCACGCCTTCCGCCTCTCGGTTGCTCCTTCGTCCAAACGAGTCGCGTTGCTCACAAATATTCAGCGTTTTTATTAGCGCGCCTCTAAATTTGGTCGTTCAGTGGTCTTGTCTCAGCTCTTCGGAATGACAATAGTATGCGTATTACATAATTTTCTACTTCCATCGTACAATTCTCTTATTAGATGACTAGACCTCTTTGTATAATGACAGCATCACCACACAGCTTCATTACAATACATGTGTTTAACCAATCATAGAGAAGTTTAGAAATCATGAATTCATAATCTAATAAATCTTTGGCCATCGGTCAATTAATACGATAAAACACGAATGTACATTCGATTAATATACAATTTTGTAATTCACTTATTGATCACAATTTTGTTTGTTTTGAACTATCTATATTTCCAGTAATACAGAAATATTAACAGTAGTAAGAAATTGATACGCGAAAATGAAGGCACGTAACCGTCACTTGCAAACCAGGGAGAGTTGAAAAGCCAGCTCAGTAGCACCTGTGCAGAGGGATTCGTCGTCGCGTTAATGTGGTAGAGGACGAAGAGGCACCGCGGGAGTCGAGGTCGTGACGATGCAGAAGGGCGGAGACGTCGTCAGCAGCGGCGACGCGGAAATTGCAAATCAAAGCTGGGTTTAACCAACGAAGCGAAGATACCTACGAGAGAAAGAGCTGGAGTAAAACGTTGATTACTCAAGATGGAGCGCCTAACTGAGATGAAGTCGCGTTTCGAAAGCGTTGGTGAGATTTGGATGCAGACCTTTGCATCCAAGTAGGAGCGCCGTCCTCGCGCGGGAGGCATCCTAAGGGAAGGACGCAGCTCGTCGGCGCGGAGGCTGCGCAGGGCGAAGGCGGCGGCGGGGTCGGCATGGGCGGCGAGGGCGGCGGGGCGGAGGGGACGGCGGGGGCGGCGGGGCCTGCGGGGGCGGGGGAGGGCGGGGGCTGCGGGCGGCGGGGCGCGGGGCGGGCGGGGCGGCGGGGGCCGGCAGGGGCGGCGGGGCGGCGGGGGCGGCGGGGCGGAAGGGGCGGTGTGGAGCGGCGGGGGCGGGCCGGGGCGGCGGGGCGCGGCGTGGGGGCGGGCGGGGGCGGGCGGGGGCGGCGGGGCGGCGGGGGCGGCGGGGCGGCCGGGGGCGGGAGGCGGGGGCGACGCGGGGGCGGCGGGGGCGGCGGGGCGGCGGGGCGGCGGGGCGGCGGGGGCGGCTCGGGGCGGGGGTTGCGGCGGGGCGGCGGGGCGGCGGGGCGGCGGGGGCGGCGGGCGGCGGGGGCGACGGGGGCGACGAAGGCGACGAAGGTGACGAGGGCGACGGGGGCGACGGGGCGACGGGGGCGAACGGGGGCGACGGGGGCGACGGGGCGGCGGGGCGGCGGGGGCGGGCGGGGGCCGGCGGGGGCGGGCGGGGGGCGGCGGGGCGGCGGCGGGGGGGCGGCGGGCGGCGGGGCGGCGGGGCGGCGGGGGCGGCGGGCGGCGGGGGCGGCGGGGGCGGCGGGGGCGGCGGGGCGCGGGGGCGGGGGGCGGCGTGGGGCGACGAAGGTGACGAGGGCGACGGGGGCGGCTGGCCGGCCGTGGTTCCTGCTGACCTCAATCGGCGCCTCTCAGGTCGATACGAAGCTCGCGCGCGCCGGCTTCCGCAAAGATGTTGACATCTCCAAGCTGAGGGCGAATAGTTGATACTACTCCTTTCATTCGCCTTGCAAAGTTTGGAAGGGGTATTTTTTTTCAAAATTACGAAGATTATTACCACGTCAATTTCCATGCAAACGTCATTAATGAATTTAGCGTGACTTCCGTACAATTTGTGAGAAGATCACTTCTTCTGACTGATATAATGCAAATTTCTTGCGATTTATTTGGCACTAAATCCATTTCTTGTTCACAAGGTTAGTTACACGGACGATTACATATTTTTTGTGAGAAATTCTTAGGTTTCGTGTTCGCCGCCATAAAAGTAAAGTTAATAACTAATTTAATCAGAAATTTCTTGCAATTATATGCTATAGTACTCTCCAAATGTTTGCCTTTCACCAGAATTTTTTATATAATTGTATCATAGTAGTTATCACAAGAATTCACCCTTGCCTTCGCCCAACTAATAGTTCCCCCTCCTCTGCCCTCTCTGAGATCTTGTCATCGACCTTTGGACCATTCCGCGTGTACAAAAGCGCTCTGAACAGGTAGTTCACAAAATTAAATCGTACTTTAAATGAAAGTTGTTTTATAGTATTTGAACGTGTTCAATCGAACATAGTACCTTAACGGGACCGAAATCGTTTTCGGCCGGATTATGCAGATCGTGTGAAGGGCACGTAGCGTGAACTTCTCAAAGTTTTGCCACACGAAGACAACTTGTAATACTTGAAATTTGGACGTTTTGTTTTTAAACGTTAATTGCATGTATTCTTTAATAAATAAATTAATTAAAGTTTATTTATGATATACAAACAGTGCCTACGCCCAACTAATAGTTCCCTCTCCTCTGCCCTCTCTGAGATCTTGTAATCGGTCTTTGGACCATTCCGCTTGTACAAAAGCGCTCTGAACATGGAAGGCCATTCTGATGCGACATCTCACGGTTCTTATCCTCTCTTGGGGCTTTGAGGTTGACTAATATCAAGGAGGCGAAGCGCCCCTCAACGCGTTCTCGGAGCTGAATTACATAACCCGTAGTATGTATTTTTGTCCTTGACGTGAAATCGGACAACCGATTAGCCAATGTCAATGCTAAAACCGCAGAAAATCAAATAAAGACGTTGCTGCAACCATTACTTACTGAATAAGATAATAGCATCCTTAAATAAATTTCTACGCTTTCACTTCAGAAGATCAAAAACAAGAAACGAAAGAAGTTTTGTTTTGGCACTTGCAGTACATGTACGGTTCAGGTTAAGAAATAGGCGGCAAAATAAGATCTCTTGTGAAAAAAATCATGAGAGAGACTTCCAAGCGGAAGTTAAATAAAGATATTTACTATTCTTCACATGTTAAGTCAGGTCAGAAGATTGCTGTGTTAACAGCAGACTATCACATTGGGATTGTTTACATATTGTGATTTCGATTTTTAAACAATTGGTTTTTCGTCGTGAAACACAGAGTAAGAGGATTTATATTACGCGCGTCTCGAGTCCACCCGGCCTTAACTAGCGCCTTCTGGAATACTAGAATATTCTGTTTCTCTAGAGGTGCTGCTTTGTCTGCAATAAACATGGCTTCAATTCGCTTCAAAGATGGAAGCACTTCATTCAATCTCTGTGGTATATTCTAACTCGCTGGGTAAGACGGAAGAGCGTCGTACCACGTAAGAGAAGGGCAATTGAAAAAGAGGTGTGACTCACCGCCGCCGTTGTTGTAGCAGAGGTAGGGGAAGCGCCAGACGTTGCCGAGGCCGACGCTGTAGCCGAGCAGCGACAGCAGGAAGTCGAAGCGGCCGGTCCAGTTGCCGCGCTCGGGCTCCTGCTCCGTGAGCCCCGAGCCGTGCGACGTGGCGTCGTCGGCGGGATTCAGCGGAACTTGCGAGTTGGCCACCGAGCACTTGTCGTCGTTCTGCAACACACGCCCGCCGCTCACAAGCCGCTCCTCATCTCCCGGCGCACGTCTCCGGATGCGAGAACGATCTCGCAAATAAGCAGGGAAATTACACTGGCACACATTTTTTTTTAAGTTGTTAGACCCAAAGACTTGTTTCACTATCTATGTCGACGCGCTGAATCCGAAGTCAGAATTGCGCCACCCCCTCCAGTTTTTGTTAAATGCGAAAAACCACCGTGAAATTTACAACATACAATTTCAGTGTGGTTTTTCGCGATTTAAATAAAACTGGAGTGTGGTGGCACAATTCTGGCTTCAGATTCCAATTCAGCATGCAAACATACATACTGAAACATGTGTCAAGCCATTGGGTCTGACAATTTTTTGTAGTTTGTGTGCCTGTGCTATTTTTCGTATTAAGGGTAATAAGGAGACCTTTCGTGGAAACTAAAGCGATAAGGGGATTTTGGTTCTTCAAATGTCGTTAGAAGTTGAATAAGGTTAATGGGATAGTGAACACAAGAAGAAAAATATGGAAAACCCCATTGTAAGCAGTAGTTAAAATATTTAGCAACATTGTTTTGGAATTCCACAGACGTTTTGTCAAGCAATATTTGTAAAGCCAAACAGAGACCAGCGCGTGCATCTTGCGAGCCTGGCTCCGGTCACACAGACACGACACATCCTCGGGGATGAGAGGGGAGTGACCGGCCCTGCAAACGGCAACAAGTTGAAACACAATTATTGCGTTTTCTACATTTTTAAGTTGAGGCCATGAGACAATTAATTGGCTCTGGCTTCACATCATTTGCCTTTAGCACAACAGCTTTTTTTTTGTTTGAACAGGAGAAATGGTATAGTGAGAAAAAACAGGCTGCAAAGAACCATTTTTTACTACACATCCTGGAAGCATTACAGAAGATAGTAGAGCCGGATGCTGGGTCTGAATTCGACGTAATTATATAGCTAGTGTCGATAATCCAGCCACAGCCTGGACAAGAACCATACGACCTCCCGATCAGAGACACTGCGGTGACATCAGTTGATTCCCTGAGCCACCTCATCCTGTCTTTTATTGGGATATTGTTGATTTATTCAGTTTCAAAGTCTTTTAATTTAAATTTCGATTCTAAATTTATATAATTAAAAACTTTACAACATCATTAGTAATTGTCTGTGTAATAGGTGTGAAATACATTCAGGTGAATCATGACCTGTGAAATAAAACTTGTTAGAAAAGTGATGCTTTAACATCCAGAAAAGCTCTTTGACCAGCGCAGGCATAAAATAATTCAAGACAACCACAGCATCTCATATGTGATCGTAGCGAAACTCTTTATACTGATTTGAATTCACTATTCATGCACCGCAAACAGGTGGAATGCGACAACTTCAAGAAATTAACCCAAATCAATTTCTTTATCAAATTAGAAATGTATCTGTGCATCTGTAACGGGGCTCAGCAAACGTAATTTGTCTGTTGAATAATTCATTTATATACTAAAAATTATTAATCAATTCATTTACGATCAGATTGAGCTTCAGATTTTTGAAACAGAGTGCTTAAAAATTTGTCTAGTCACGAACGAGTTTAAGAGAAAGAAATAATCTAATAATCGGTAAAGGGAACCGACACAAAGAGAAACTTTAATTTCGCTCTTATAATGTTCGTTAGTAATTCTTTATTCTTTTCTAATTCGATGGAGATTCCTAATCCTTCGCCGAATACGTAAAGTGTCTTAGAGAAAGAAACTTACGATGTATATATTTTAATAAGTACGTAAATAATAAGTTTCTTGATTTTAACATATTACAAACTCGTTATTAGTGAATAATTACTTATGTATTTACAGTTATATACGGTTACATGCGGGCTACATTCGTACATAATGAACCAGTGTACCTGATATGTGGTGTTCGTACTAATGACATTGGTATAAAAGTAAAGAATTTCTTATATAATTTATTATCTAATTTATAATTCACATTAGAGTATTGTAATCAGTTAAAGAGTGTAGAATATATACGTTTCTCTATCACTGAACCACAGATAAGTTTATTTTATTTCCTCTGCGTCTTGAAAATAGACTGAAAAGACACATCTCAATGTAAAACTGTCTTTATGGTATACATAATAATTTCTAGGAGAAAAAACATGCTTGTGAGATATAAATGTACCAAAAGTGAATGTTATTATATTGAAAATTCATTCATCGCATTCACAAGGAAACAATAAAAAAATAACCTTATAAAATGCAAACAGTCGCACACATGGTGTCAAGGAAAAAACTATATTAAATATATTTTAAAAACTCATATGAATCATGCTAAATATACAACAGCCATAGTACCTCATTCTTGATTCCATAAATTCAAATGTAGACATAATTTGGCTTCACATGTCGCAACAGCGAGAAACACTTGGACGCATAGCAAAGCAACATCAAATATCGGCGTCGATATTTGCGATAGCAAACATGAGCAGTGCCCAGAAATAATTGTGGAAACTGTAGAGCGTAACAAGGCCCAGCAAACGCAGGCGCTTTTTTACTGAAACGTGTAGCATAACAGGTAAAAGCTATGCAATATTTGTAAAATATGAAAAATGATGCAAAAAACATTGAAAATAAGATGCATATTTGTATATGATAAAAAACACATTTCCACTTTAGCATTGAAATCGAGAAGAAATTATATCGGAACATTTCATTAAAATATTGTGATGTACTGTAAAATTCTGGAAATTGTGATGTTCCAGAACAAATGTATGCTCTCATTACTAATCATTGCCTGTTGGTACGAATTGAATTTAAATTTATTTAATTATAAACATTATTTATGTAATTCAGACTTCAATATTCATAAGAAATAAGAATATAAATGTGATTTTGAAATAAAAATGTATTTTCTTGAAGGTAAAACTTGAACTGTTTTAGATATTCATTTAGGTTTCTATTTTTTCTCGATGTTTCGTGAAAGTAAATTAATAGAATTTAGTAAATTTAGAAATTTAGGAGGTAGTTGTGTGAGTGTATGAGAGCAACATAGAGTTCCATTAAATGACATTATTCGCAATTTCGAAAAGCAATGAAAGAAAGCCGTCTCCAACACGCGTGATTTTTCTTCTCGCTTTCAAAACCTCGCAGGCGAGCTTCTCACAAGAGCAGGCGCGAAGGCCTTTGTTTTTTTTAATTTTCTTTTTTGTTTAAGAGCTTCAACGCAGCGGCAGCGGATGCGGCGTGGGCGACTCAGCGGCGCAGGCGAGCGGAGAGGCCGAGCGGCGCGCGTGCCTACCTGCGCGTGCGAGCGCGCCACGCACGCCACCGCCACGGCCTCCTCGGGGCGGCGCCGCGCGCGTAGCGCAGTAGCAGCCGGCGCACGGCGCGGGCCGCGCTTCAGGCGCCGCGCGCGGGGCGGCGCCGGCCCGCCGGCGGGCGCGTCCCGCGCGGGCGTGGAAACGCGGGCGGAGCCGGCTGCGGACGGCGCACGGCGCGGAACGGTGCGGGACTGTCACCAGCGATGCGACGCACCGCGACCCGGCCGGACGATTCTATGGCAAATGACGGCGAGCGGATGTCGGCCAACCGGCAGAGAAGGAGCGTTTTATCGACACCGAGCGACACAATCCCTGAGAAGGAACCCCGGCCACTGCAAGGTCGCGCGCGACCGACGGCGCGACGGAACGTTCTCGGAGGCTGTGCCTAATCTGAAAAGAACAGCATTAATAGAGGTCGAACCTTTTCCTTCATCGCCGATCAGCTCCTTTGGACCAGCTCTCCAATGATGACTGATGACTGATGGCAACCGATCATCGACACGGAGAGGAGTGCGCCATGTGTGCCGGAACTGCGCCATACAGTAGACTAAACTATTTCTTTCGTTCAGCTGAGCAGAAATGGTCAAGGGCAACGCCGGATCGTTCTCACCTACATCAATTAGTAACGCTAATTTCGGCTAACAGTTTCTCAATTTGAAGCTAATGAAGGTGAAGTCAGTGTATCATAGGTGTAAATTACGTTTCGGCCTAGGAGAACCGCTGCTGACGTGACTTAGCATCAGCCAATATTATAACAGACTCTTTATATAAGCGTCCATATTGAAACTATTTCGTTATGTAAAACTCTAGTATTGAATGGTCTGAAATATTGTACACATTAATATATTTTTTGTTTGAATATTAAATGTGTGCTTCTAGTATTTTCAATAAAATACCATGTTTAATTCAGTAGAAACTCCATTATTATGTTTCAGGGAAGAGATATCATAGAAAATCGAAAATCCCATATTATCGAAGTAATGTTTTTATTGGTTCAAATGTGTTAAACTAAAGAATAAAGATATGTAAAAAACAATAAATGAGACATGGTTCAGTAATAAGAGAACAAATTCGCTGTTGTCATTGTTAATTCGTGTCTACGATTGTGGTGAAGTGTGTCATCTTAAAGCAACAAGTCCTATATAGAAATGAGCAAGGCATTGATCGTAGCAAGGTAAGCCATATTTTTACCAAAACACAAATATTAAAACAAACGAATATCGGGGGATTTCCGTGGCTGATGTAACGTATATACTCGTACACGTAGTAAGAAGCAGTACTTGTACCTCGGGCCAGCAATGGTTTTGAAGAAACTGGCAGGGGGAAATATTGCATGATTAGTTTGAAAAGGTGGCAGTACTGTCAGTTTGTAAGTTGTTTATGTGCATTTACGTTTATTCGGAAACAAGTATTTAACTCGATTTATTTCGTGATGTCAAAAGTAAAATTTCCAAGTTTGAAATTTTCGTTTTCTACGAAATTTAAAGCATAATTTTATCCGAGTACTACATGCATAAAAATCCTCATAGTTGTTTGCGCAGTATTATTTACTTAAGGGATCATAATCGATAATATTGTTGCCTTGCCTCTTCATTTACAAAATAGGGTTTAGCCACAAATTACTTCCTCAAGAGTGGGAACATATTTTCGTTCAATATAGATATCTATAACATTAACACTCGACGCAGTAATCACTTTA